GATACGGCCAGGAATTTCCTGAGCTTCCATCACACCTCAGAGAGGATGGTCGTCTCCAAGCTCGTCCCACTCTAACAGTCTATCACTTTTACCAAATCCAGGGGTCGTGAGAATCCCCTATTTTTGTTTTCCAGAGGGAGGTATTAAATTGTTATCAGCTTTTGAACTAAGGTTCAACTCTTCTTTGAAAGCTTTATTTTTAATAATTGATATCATTTCAAGGTCCAAAGACTTTTCCGTTTCCTACATATTCCTGTTCTTTTCTTTCACTGCCCTCTAATTCAGGCTGTTTTTTTCCCCCTGTGGCATGTCCCTGCCTGAATCCATTCTCTTCTGTTTTTCTTGTCTATATTTCTTTCATGTCGTGTGTGTGTGTGTGTGTGTGTGTGTGTGTGTGTGTGTGTGTGTGTGTGTATGTGTCTGACTCAATGAGCTTTATTAGATTTGCTTATGAGAGTGTGGATGAGGGGTTATTTACAGGTGCATAGGCACTCCACCAATGGCTGTATCACTGAAGAAAATGTCTCACCCCCAGTAATTATTAACCACCCATAACCCCTCGGAGGGGGTGGGTCACTTTTCTTGCTTGTCTACAGTTCTTAGTCCTTGATTCTTTTCTCCTGTCCAAACTGAGATTTAATTCTCAAACCTAACAGAAAGTGTTGTAGGTTGAAAATGCTAAGCACAGCTTAGCAGCACATGGCCAATGCAGTAATGGTTTCCTCCTGGGGTCATGGGACTGAATGGGAGCTGTGATTCCTGATGCTTCTCGGCACACTTTGGGGGTATTGTGCTACGTGTAGCTAGCTTAGGAAAAGATCGGAATTCAAAATTTGAAGTGTGCTTTCTATTGAACGTGCATTACTTTCATACCACCATAAAGATGAAAAAAATTATGTTGAACCATCGGTAGTGAGAACTATTTGTATTTCAAATATTCTCCTGCATCCTTTCTTTCCCTCTCCAGCCTTATATAACTGCATTGAGTATCACAAAAGGTGCTTAACCAAGTAGAACCAAGGAGGATGTTTGTGCTTGAAGAGAGAGCTCCAGACTGCAGCACCATAAAGCAGGAAATTGGAAACTGGAGAGCTAATCTGAGATAGAACGCCACAGCACTTCATAGAAAAGAGTGTCCCAGAAAATGATGAAAAACAGAATTAAAGAAACTCCTAAGCTAGGGACTCTCTGAAGTACAATCTGTAAGGTCACCCATGTACTTTTTTGTCCTGAATTTCTCTACAAGACAGAGGACAGAGAACACTGGGGTAGTTCTGTAACTGGCCCCTGTGTGTCTCCTGTTATGCACCTCCAAAGGGCACACTCCTGTGTGTCATAGGGAGGAAGATGGAGTTTAGGACAGCTCGACTGTGCTTCACATTGACGACGCCTTCTTTTCAGCCATCCCTTGGTTCCACTGGGAATGCATGAGAACCCTGAGCTACTGATGTGTTCCTTGGAAGGGACACAGTTCTAAACCATGCTAAACCAGTTCTGACTGGTGATCAGTTCATAGAAAGTCCTGTGTTGTAAGCCAGTCCAACGGAACGCCTCTTGAGATTTCCAGAATTTCTGGGGAGTGGATTTCCTCCTTGTGTGGATGGTATTGTGTGCGCATGTGAGGCTTATGCTTTTCACTTTGCCTATTCATGAGGTCTATATGGAAGAAGGCAGAGCAGGAAGGATGGCAGAGAAATAGAGTTGGAATCCTTGTCAAAGTATGCCTGAAGCCCACACTGCCACAGGTCTGTTTAAAATGGGAGCCAATTCATTGTGCTTAGAATTTTAGCTGAGCGTAGTTGAGTTTTCTTTCTTACAACTAAAAATTTCTGGATGGATTTACTTATAGATCATGCTTTTTCACTATCCTCTTAGGTGGTGACAGTTGAGACTAATGTCAACCCAGCATAAAAAATGTGGCTATCCCCATTTAATTCATGTAATTGCATATCTTTGGATGCCCTGTTCTGAGACACTCTCATAAAGTGACATTGTGTTGGAATGGTGGTAGAAATTCCAACAGAGGCAGTGTTGGATGATAATTTATTACCCTCTTCATAGCAATTCTTCACCCTCTGTGTTTTCTTTTTAAAAACAAAACTTAAATTTTAACTTTTATCTTTTCTGGCCTTGTCCAGCTCATGACTCAGTCCTGGCCAGTTAGACTGAAACCCCTTGGGGAGATGATTCAAGCTGAGCTGTTTCAGAACTCCTCCCACCCCCAACCCCCCCTTGACCCCACCCCTCCGACCCCCACCACCGGCCCCATCCATCTTGTGTTTGGACACTGACTTGGCACTTGTGGCTTTGCCAGCTGCTCTGCCATAGTGTGAAAAACTGGGTAACTTGCCAAAACAGCCAAGAGGACAGATCAAAGAGCATGGGCCTTGATGACACCACAGGGCAGCTAAATGACACCCACAGCCACCTTCCTCCAGAGTTCTGGCCTGTGACAAAAAATAACCCCTCTTGTCTGAATCACAGCAAGCCAAGCTTTCTGAGATTTACAACACAAACATCTCCTCCACCTCGCACATGTTACTATGAGAAAGATGGCCCATTTTTCTTCAGAAAAGATGAAAACGTTCAAGTCAGACTATGGACTGTGTGAGTCTTATGGCTTTCAGATAGTTTCCTTCTTACATGTGTCCTGTCTTCCGAGGGCTTTCACACCAATTGGTCTTAAGGACCAAGAGCAGCGTCTTTGGTCCACACCACACCCTTTCCTCTTAGGTGAGAATGGTAATTACTAGAACAGTACTCATACTGCACCACCTTCAGGACTCGTTAATAAACACGGCAGTTGGCTTTCTCTGGGACACAATCATATCATAATTGAATAATGGCTGCTTCAAATCTTATCCCGTGTTTCAGCAGGATAGACCCTTGACTACGGGAGAAATACTCTAAGATACTGAATTGCATTGGCTAGACTCTACTCATTAGAGGCTTGAGGCAAGTTGGTAAGACCAAAAAGTGATTTCCAGAGCCAACCCATTTCCCAGTGAGGACATGTCTCTGCTGTATTTAGATGAATGTAGATTTCATCGACCATGTTGCTGGCTTTCTGAAAACTGCCCTGCACAGCCTGCTGGTGCTTTTCATTGTTGTTTAGTTTTTGGAAAAGAGAATGACTAAGAGCTCCATCGCAACCTTTTCTCATGGGAGATAACACATAGACACCACCCCAAAGAGTCTGTTAAGGCCTTCGGCCAGGTTTCTCATGGTTTTCTACAAACCTGGTTGCTCTTGTGTTCAAACATAGATTGGTGACATCACTAATATTGGCAGCTGTGGTTAGAAGGGGATTGCCATGGCCTTTTAGTACAGAAAAGTCACAACGTCCATTTTTTAAGCAAGTATGTACAGAAATTTTCCACTTTGATCCAACCGGACTTCCGGAAGCAATCATAAACGGCCAGGCCAAGAGTCCCTCTCTTTGGTCAACATCACTTTATTATAGATATCAAATGCCTCATTTTGCTATAGATAAATGGAAATGTTTTTTTGAGTGAAACTTCTCTGCCTCCATTTCTTTCTGGCAATCATCTTGTGAGAGGGCCAAAGAATCCCTGAACTGTAGTGATTAGCAGGGTGTGGCTGGTATGACGAATCATGGGGTTGTGGTACATGTCTCATCTTTTTTGGACAGAAATAGTGCGTGTTTTGAACTCCTTTTTCATTATCATTGGCTATCAAATAATAAGTAGTTCATCCCCCTTACAGCAAGTAGCATGATTCCAGGAGAAGAGCAAGACCTTGCCTCAACATGAAGGATGACTTAGCATAATGGGTTGACAGAAAAGTCAAGATAATTATAAGATCGCTCACTATCAAGATTATCCTAACTGGGAGGAAGAAATACATATTTCCCCCTTGGAACTTTCTCAATCAGCCTGCTTGTTTTTCTTCTTTTTCTGTTCTTTCTTTACCTATTCATTTATTTTCTCATGTGCCCCCCACCTGCACTCGTAAGTCTAATTTTAGTATCCAGTCACTGTTTAATACGGGTACTAGCATAGGCAGTCTGTGTTCAAGGCTTTTACTCTCCCGTGATATGTCATACTTAATTAACTGTCACCTTCACTATTAATATTAACTGAAATATTAATTTGATGAATCTTAATTTCTCTTAATCATAGCATCATTTTGATCCTTCATTGGATATCTCTTTAGAGTGACACTCAGTGCAGAGGAGAAATATTAATAGCATATTAAGGCGTTTAAAACATCTCTTCAATAATTGCATGTTTTCCTGGTAAGGATGCGTGTTGCTTGAACAGATGTAGGTACCCTGATTTCCTTGTTAGCAAAATGGATGTTTTGTCTTGATCACCTTCTGACTTTATTTTGCACCTTTAAATGAAAATACTTCCAAATTTAAAAAATGTTCCTCCCAAGATGAATTCTCCAGAGTCTGCTGCATTATAGGAATGGCAAGGGCTTTGTACTATTAATGGAGGCATGGAAAATTTAAATTTGAAGGTTTAGTCTGAGCCTTTGGTAGCAGAATCTATGGAGAGCCAGGACCCAGGAGGAAAGAGCCAAGATGAAGGACAGCTGAAACAGATAGGAAGGAAGGGAGGGGGAGGGAGGGGGAGAAGGGAGGGAGGGAAATGGAACTGGTCTATTTACTGACTATTCTAACATTCCTCTCATTGATTAGAAATGTTTTTCTCCCCCTTGCCCTGTACCCCTCATCACAGATACACTGAACCTGGATGAAGATGCTCGTCAGAATGCCCCTCCATCACTAGCACATGACTGACACCAAGAGTATATTTAGGTATGGCCCCATCATTCCAGTCCAGTCCCAGATCCACAGGCACAGACTCATTCCCAGGCCTCTGGTTCTCAGGAGCTTCCTCAAGCATCAGCTCCTTCACTAAAGGGAGCATGCCAGCAGTTCTCCTTCCTTCCCCAGTTCCCTGAGCACCCTGATGAGGGGTATCCTGAGTCTTTACCCACTCCTGAGCAGCATGTACCGCGAGCCCACTTACCTCCAGGTACACCACCCACGGCATCACCAACGTGGCCACCAGCAGGTCTGCAACAGCCAGGCTCACCACTAGGTAGTTGGTGGTGGTCTGGAGGGCACGCTCCCTCAGCACAGCTGCACATACCAGGGCATTGCCGAAGATGATGGCTAGGATGAGCGCACAGTAGGACAGGGCATAGTAGGCATGTGGGCGGGCCCGGCTGACACTCGTGGAGTTCTCTGCTCCACAGGTGGAGTTGATGTGGTTGCTTATTTGGCTCAGAGGTGCCATAGCCCAGACAGAGGAATGTGACTCCAAAATGTTCCTAGGAAAAGATAGAAAACAATGTGGATCAGATCAGATTCTTTGAGGCTGGGATGTGGTATGTAGATACAGTTTAAAATGTCTGTGTCTACAAATATTCATGGAACATTTCCTATATAATATCAGGCAGTTCTGTAAGAACTAGAGATACAGCTAGGAACAGAACAGACAGATAAACAATTCCTCCTCTATGAAGTGTCTATGGGGGGGGATATAATCATCAAAATAATTCCTGTTCAGTGATAATATGCATTTTGGAGAGAAGTAAATCAGAAATGGGAGTTGGGGAGTGGTTGAGGACAGTGTGTATGTGGGTGAGCATTTGAAAACAATTTCAAACTGGTGTCATCAGGAAGCCTTCACGGGTATATTAGCAATTAAGTCAAAGCTGGCAGAGGTAAAGAAACAACCATCACAGATACCTGGTAGAATGTGGTCCGAGCAGAAGGAGCAGGGGTGCCTTGAAGAGGCTGGGGTGTAGGGAGAGTAGCAGGGGTATGGGGAGAGTAGCAGGGGTGTGGGGAGAGTAGCAGGGTTGTGGAGAGAGTAGCAGGGGTGTGGGCAGAGTAGCAGGGGTGTGGGCAGAGTAGCAGGGTGTGGGCAGAGTAGCAGGGGTGTGGGGAGAGTAGCAGGGGTGTGGGGAGAGTAGCAGGGGTGTGGGGAGAGTAGCAGGGGTGTGGGGAGAGTAGCAGGGGTGTGGGGAGAGTAGCAGGGTTGTGGAGAGAGTAGCAGGGGAGTGGGGAGAGTAGCAGGAAGGCCAGCACAGCTGGAGTCTAATGAGGCAGCCGTGAGGTGGAGGGATGTGAGCTCTGACGGCTTGTGTGGGTGACTGAAAAGAATCATGTTCGCACTCTTGTGTGGGATGAAGCTGCTGCAGCGTGAGAATTCTCCTGGACATTTCCTAGCTCCGGGACCACAGGCATGTTATCTCTCTGAGCTCCAGTTTTCTCCTCTATAAAATGGAGGAATGATAGAGCGCATTTCCGAAGATTTTCACTCCAGGCGTAGTGGAAATAATTCTCAGGGCGTCATTATAGCTCAGTGGCAATGTACACAAATCACAGCCCTGGGTTCGACTCCAGCCTCACACAAAAAGAACAGAATTATTTTGTGTATTTGTTTATTTTGGGGTTTTGAGACAGGGTCTCCATCTGTAGGCTGAGCTGGCTTTAAACTTGGTGATCCTACTGCCTCAGACTCCCAAAAGCTGAGATCATAGGCATGAGTCACCATGATTGGCTTATGAAAGAACTGTTTTGTGTGTTAGGCTTTGGAAGCCATGCTTTATACCTCAAATACTATGCAAGTACTGTGTTGGCTTTTTTTTCTTACCAGCCTGTTCATCTTAGTTTCCTTTCTTTCCAAATTCTTAATAAAAACATATTTGTGTGTGTGTGTGCATGTATGTGTGTGTGTGTGTGTGTGTGTGTGTGTGTGTGTGTGTGTGTGTGATGTCTGTACCTATGTGTGCATGTGGAAGTCAGAGGACAATGGTGAATGTCCTGCCTCATCCCTCTTCACCTTATTCCTTTGAGATAGGGTCTCTCTTCTCTCTCTGAACCTGGAGCTAGGCATGCAGCCAGAAACTCAGAGATCCTCTTGTCTCTGCCCCTCACAGTGCATATGGCCACATCCAGCTTTTACTGTGGATGCTGGAATCTGAACTCAGGTCTTAATGCTTGCACGGTAAGTGCTCTTACCCACTAAGTCATCTCTCCTCCCTTACCTTCCTGTTTTTCTTCCTCTGACCTCTACAGATATATTTACACACACACACACACACACACACACACACACACACACCCCATCTCTGTTTGTCTCTTCTTTCTTCAGTATCCCATTCTCTCTCATATTTTACATCGGGAATGATGGGTTTCAGAGATTAGATTATAGAAGACAATATGGAGTATTTGAGTTTAGTACAGGTTTTTTTTTTTTTTTGTATTTATGGGTATTCCACATGTAGAAATTTATTTGAAAGTTCCTAATCTTAAAGGAGTAATTACCATTTGAAAATATTTAATCTCTGGTCTTCTAATTCTTTTAGTTTTGCCTTTTAGCATTTGGAAGCCATAGCAACTGTCTTGTTACCATCCCACTGGGGAAAATAAGCCCTCAGATCATGCAGGGTTGAACCAGGAGTGTGGCACACGCCTTTAATCCCAGCACTTTGGAGGCAGAAACAGGTGGATTTCTGTGAATTCCAGGACAGCCAAAGTTACATAGTGAGACTCTGCTAAAAGAAAAAAATAAATAAAAAATCAAGGTTTGAGTTTGGAGTGGCAAAGATACCTGAGTCTACCAGCTTCTCACATGACACCAATTTGTAGGGACCAGTCCTACAGAAAAGACTCTGGGTTCTCAATGCCAGATATTTATGTGTTCATGGGACACGAAAGACCCCACTCCTGAAGAAGAGGCCTGTGTGCAGAGGGTACCAGTGCATCAGGGCCAGATGCTAGAAAGAGACCCAGAGTTGGGATCCTGAAAGCCAGGTAAAAGTGTTTCCTACTTCAGTCTCTGTGGCCCCACTGGCCACAGTCTGAATGTTTGTGTGCCCCCCAAATCTGTCTGTTGAGTCTTAAGTCCCCATGTGGTGATGGTTTCGAGAGGTGGGAGTTTAAGTTGGAGTGGAAGCTGGTGGCTGCTGGGGGATGTCTTTCGTACACTATGAATATATGTTGTTCCCATTGGTTAATAAATAAGCTGCTTTGGCCTATGGCAATGCAGCTTAGAGGCAGGCAGGAAATCCAAGGAGAGAGACAGGAAGGAAAAAGGCAGAGTTGGGGGGAGATGCCAGTCGCCGCCAAAGGAGCAGCAAGATGCCAGCAGACCGGTAATGCCATGGCCATGTGGCAACTTATAGATGAATAGAAATGGGTTAAGTTATAAGAGCTAGCTAGGAAGAAGCCTGAGCCATAGGCCATACAGTCTGTAATTAATATAAACCTTATTTTATAAATGGCTGTGGGACCATGGGGCTGGTGGGGATGGGAGAAAACTATGGCTACAGGTGGTGGTTGGGGTTTACCTTCAATCTTGTCACCTACAGCTCTCCTAGAATCAAACAGTTGACTTAATCGTGGCTATCATTTTACACCTCACTTTAAAATGTTTCTGTCTGAAACAAGTATTAAAACGAAGAAATGTTAGAAAAGGGTGACCAACTTGGAATGCATTCAGAGAATTACTTAAAAAATGTTCTTTATCACAGCACATTGTTTGCAGTTGATATATTTTTAACACATAATAATAATCCTTGGTAATAATTATAATTTCCTCATTATTAGGAGAAGGGCAGCCGCTACCCTGGAGACAGCATCGTGGCTGCCAAGAGCCTTTGGGAAAACACAGCGCTTTCTGAATATCCAAGGATATTCCCCTTTGGAGGCTCAGGCTCAGCATACCTTTCCTTTCACAGCAGGGCCACCTTCAAGGCAGGGGCCAGCCTCTCCTCCTCCTGGAGTGTGCACCTGCTTAATGGATCCCTAGCTTCTTCTCACCTGTCAAGTAAGAAGGAAAGCATAAAGCCATGGGATTCTTGTCACTGTGTTGCCGGGCTTTGTGCTCAGCCCAGAGGGCTGACAGCTACTTAACAGTGCACAGGGAATGTCAAGGGCTAATTGTAAGAAGGGCAGTCCTCACTTCCCCAAATCAGTTCTGGACCTGGTGTTAGAAGCACAACTACATGGATTTCTGGTTTGTGTTTTCACATTGTACTATTTCCAGTCTTAGATTTTTTTTCCCTAGCAGCAGGTGAGTAGACCATGGTTGTTCCAGAGTTCTGGATATGAGAGATAAAAGGATGCAGAGATGAGTGTGATATGCTACAGTGATCCCTGCCTCTCGGCTAATTATCCTCCCCTTTATTTTTCTCCTTGAATCTTCTTTTTTTCCTTTTTAAATGAGGATTTCTTATATAACTCTGAGCTGGGTTGTTTCCCCCCTCTTTATCCTTCTGATAGATGTGCTAACAGATAGTGAACTAGTCTGAGGATGAAGCGGGGAGTTTGAAGAATTTATTAACCTAATAATCACTCTCCAAATAATTTGTAATGATAGACCAGTTGTTCCATCAGCAGACTGAAGATAAATCATGCCCACTTCATAGGTTATTGTGAGGACCAAATGCAATTATATGCATAAAGCCGGGGCACTATGAACAACTGGGTTGATAATTCTTTGTTTTGCAGGATGTCTTATGCATTGTTGATGTTTAACAGTGTCCCTGATGTAGCAACTAGCTGTAATAACCAAAAACTGGACGCTGCTCAATCTCAAATGGAGAAGGGTGCAAAAGAACTTTCCTGCTGGAGAAGCATTGCTCCAGTGTAAGACCTAGCATGCGGCTTTTATTGTTAATGGGAAGGTGTGAGAAGGTAAAGAGAGAAATAAGCTACCACTGCCAATCATCTGATGGACTTGGTGATTAGGAGATTGCTGGTGAGCGCCACAAAGAATGTTTTAAGAGTGCATGGAAGGAGAGACTGTAAAGAAGGGAGGCAAAGGAGTTGGCTCCGTGGGGAAGAGCATTTGCAGGACAAGCTTAAGGATCTCAGTTCAAATCTCTAATACCCCGGTCAAAAGCTGTATAGGGCTGGATGAGTGCCTATCTCCCCAGTGCTGTGGGGATCTAAGACAGAATGCTAGGGTCTGGTGGCTGTCAGTCTATGTGGCTCCAAATTCAACGAGAGACTCAGGGAATAAGGCAGAATGTGACAGAGTAGGACATCTGACATCTTCTGATTTCTGTACCCCATGGCACACAACCATGGGGGTGGGGGCAAAAGGTAGACGATTACTGCCAGCCCAGATCTCTTAAGATATACTACATACAACATTGCTTATGAATTTTAAGAAGATTGAATTTCACATAAAGTATTGATTCATCCTGGTCTTTTTGGTGTGTCCTAGCCTTTTTAGGATGACTGTGTGATCTAATTTAAAAGCCAGAAAGACAGAATGGACAAGCTGTCATTATCTGGGACATATTCAGTTCCTCAGTGCACCTGGACATTCAACCCACAAAGTCTCACCAGCATGACTGTCTAGCATGAGCCCGGACAACAACAATAGACAAGCTAAAGTGAAGCGGGGAAGGACCAGGAGGCCTCAGCACTACACCAAGAGCTACAGGCAACCAAGGAGTTCTGAGAGCTGGAGAAATGGTCTCCCCGGGCAAGAGCACACCAACTGGTTGTCCAATACCAAAAGGTCACACAATACCTAGAATCGCACATGCAAGTAACATTATACAGACTGAGCAGGTGATGTATCGAAATATATGTCTAAATACATGTACGTAGATGCATGGAACAATAATTGGTGAAAGAGAGGCTGTGAGTTTCGGAGAGAGGAAGGGGTGGGAGAGGTTGAGGGGAGTAAAGGGAAGTGGGAAATGATGCATTTGTATTATAATCTCAAAAATAAAAGAAATACTTAAAAATGATTTACATGATTGAACTATTTGTTCCTTTTCCTTAAAGACATTGAATTACTCAAACCCAAACATAATAAAACTAAAACACCTTTAGTATTTAGCCCCCTTCCAAAGACAAGCACTTCCTAGATATTTCTGGTGCTAGGCAGACACTAATACTTCCCATGCGACATTTGTTAATGCTCACAGTATCTCTTGAGGGAAGATATGGACATCTTCCCTTTAAGAATTAACAGAGACACAGAGGGGTTCAGTAATTTTCTCAAGCTCCCATAGTGTGACTCTCTGTCTGGTCTCCACAGAATGGACATCTCTACTCTGTCACATCCTCTCTGCTGAGATACTCTCTCATCACAGGCCCATGGCAACTGATAGAATGACCATGGGCCAACACCTTCACACCCCATGCACCGAGGAAAGGCCATAAGAGTATACACACAAAAGAGGGTCATTCCTCCCAAACTAGGAGAGAACAAGTTCTTGTTCAGATTCCTTCCTCTGCAATAATTACACAGTGTATAGTGTGAGCCAGCCTTTGATTAGGGCTTCTCAAGTTGAAAACTCACAACTTACTTAGTATGTCTACATGGTAAAAACTGATGCTGGGAGTGATTCCTAGATTGAGGTGGGTTTCTCTAAGGCAGAATGAACTAGTGGCTTCTGTGACATACCTTCCTTCATATCCCAGGTCCCTGGTATCTGTCATCTTTTCACTAACAAACATGCTGATCACCAGGGTCCAGTTTTTCCAGCCTTTGCTTCAACTCAGGCTTTCCAACTGCCTGATAAAATTCATAATTATAACAGCTAACATTTATAAGCTTTATCATATTGAAATTCCCTGACAACATGAAGAATAAAGTGTTATTCTCATCCCCATTCTAGTAGAGGAAGAGAACGGGTCACATCGAGATTCATTTCTAGCTGAGACCATAAACCAGTGAATGGTGGAGCTGATTCAACCCAAGACCTGAGTCCAGAGCTTCTGTCCTGAGTCCTCCACGATGGAGGGGAAGTAGACAAGCCTAGAATGGGGAATTATGTGAAGATCGTCCATGTTCAGTAGCTTGTGCACATCTCCTTACCCAGCTTTTTAAAGTCAATGCAGGTGTGCACTGCTCACAGAGCCAGTGGGAGTTATATTGTCATTATTATTAGAGGTAGTCTTTAGCATTTCTATGGTGCTTTATTCTTGCAAATTGCTCTCAAATTCATTTCATAATGAAGATTCACAAGTGCATTGAAGTATATAGCATATTTATAGATTTGGATATATTTACATTGTTGGTAGGTATACAGAGGAAAAGCCATGGTTGGTTTTATTGAGATCCATTAGCTAACATAATACAGTTCTTTTTTTCTCATTGAACCTGACCAATAAAGCATGCTTACTTCCCTTAACAATCTTCCAAAACAGATCATGTTGTCTTTCTAAACAGAGATAAAATGGGGAAATACAGTAGACCAAGTAACTAATTAGTGAATATTAGTTGATAGCAAACTTCAGTGCATTAGAAATTAAATTTAATACTGGGTAGACTCTATTTGATATTTGACATATTGATTATTCAATTATAAGGAGCCTTCTGGATGTTATCCTTCTTGGATGTTATCAGTATTTTCTTTACTCGACACCACACCCTTGTCCACCATTAGTCATGCAGACCCTTGAAAATATTCAACTATAAGTAAACAAGTATCTGAGTAGGAATCTCACATTGTCTCTCCTTCTTTGGGGCTCTACAAGATCCCAAGGCCAGGTCAAATGGCTGTCTTTCCTTCTTGCCCAAAGGCAGACAGTTTGCTGACCTTGTAGTATCAGTAAGCAAAGGGCTTTACCTATAAAGTGCAAACAGGCATGCAGAGCTTGTCTAGAACCCGAGTTCCACTTTGCTATTGCTCCGTTATTGTTTGTGCATGCATTGAGATGGTATTAGATTCAACTAGATGCGTTAAGTGTCACAAGTGCCTAATTACATGAACTTTGTTGACCCAATAAGCCACGGTGAGCAATGGAAGTCCCACAGTTAAACAACAGCACCTTCAAAATCATACACAATCATTGGAGAATACACACACAATCATGCTTTCAAGCTCTACATATCTCTGTTGGGATAATTGGATTCTGACTTGGAAGCAGCTTGACTTTAAATAGATTGGAAACGGTGTCTCTCTAAACCCTTGGCCCTGCATTACCAGGGTGCTGATATGGGGAGTTGAAAATACCAGACTCTGACAATTAAGTAAAACCCTTAAGAGGAATACAGTCAACTTCCCTGCAACTCCCAGGAATAATTACAGGCTTTTATTTTCTGTCTTTTATGTATGCCTTGATACAGATTCTAGAGCCCATCAGGACACAGTTGGGGTGGGGGTGGGGTAAGTAAGAGCAGCTCCAACCACTTAATGAAATGAACACGGGCTTCCTCAGGGTTTCGTGTTTTAAACCTAGAGTAGCTCGGAGATTTAATGCATATTTTTAGAGAACCAAAGAATTCCAAGCTAATCAAATAATCTTCCACTAAATTAGGAATGAAAAGAAAAATCCACTTACCTTGAAAATTTCTTCTGGTGTCTGGAGACTGTGGAGTTGAGCACCTCAGTTCCTGAAGCCATTTACTGACGGCAGATACACCGAAGCAAAGCAAACTTTGCCTTTCCCAGGACACAGAAACTATGGAATCATTTCCATACAGACAGAAAATCACCTGGCTTTTGCCTCTGAGGTGGAAATTACTTGTGAGCTACTCTTGCTGCTTTCTATCAGACCTCACTGCATGTTTCTTAGCTGCTTTTCCAAGGCACCAGTGTTCCCTAGAGGAGCTGGGAGGGACCCCCCTGAACGTTGTTTGGGTTAGCAGCTCAGAGGCTCTGTCCTTGGTGCTGAGAGAGATGGAAGAGGAGCAAGCTGGATTCTACCCGGCTCGCCTCTCTTCCCTCCGTGGTTCTACCTGCTTCGGTTACTGTACTTTTTAGTGTGTGTGTGTGTGTGTGTGTGTGTGCGTGCTTTTCCCTCAGTGCTCTTTTGAATCCCTAGTGTTACCACTCCCTTTACCTTTATGCTTTGACTCCTCTTGACTAAATCTCACGTCCTCGGTTTAATTGCCTCTCCAGCGTTTGGTGGGTGTGAAGATAGGGTTCAGGAGGAACAGATCAACAAATGGATACCACAAGCAGTTCATGGAAATCAGTACAGTTTAAAACACAATTGACAGAATAATTAAATTTGGAGGTGTGTGCCTGTCTGGGAAAAGGAGGTTAAAGAAAATATACTGCAGGAGAAGCAATACTCAGGCATGGATATATCCATGCTCACGATGAAGAAGAAGCCAGCTAATATGAGCATTATTAAATGTTTATTTAGCAGGGTTTCTTGTTTCCACAGAAGTTTACAAACACTTGTCAATTCGTTCTTTCTGCTTGTCCATGACATATGTTTTTTTTCCTTCCCATTTTCTTACCATTAATTTTTAAACTCTAGATTTATGAGCTAATTGAGATACAACTAAGGTTAGTGTCAGTAGACATCAATACTAGACCTTAGACAATCTTCATTCATGTTCACCTGTTCAAGTAACTCTTTGCCATGGGTGCCTACTTCCTGTTCTCTTATTTCCAGCCTCTTTTACCTTCAGACAGAGTTGTGATTCTTTTATTAGTTTCCCTACCATTAAGCTTGGAAGCTGCACTGAGCGCCTACTATCCCTCGTTGGATATAATGGAGACCTCTACTGGCTGAAAGAGATGGAGCAGGGGCAAATCTATACACCGTTAATGGCAATGACCATCATTTATTGAGCACGTACTAATATCTGGTCATTTAAATTCATTGCTTCTTTTAATCCTTTCAGCAACCTTACAGAGTAGATATTACTTTTTCCTTCCTTATTACAGACTGAAAAATCGAGGCACACAAAAATTATCATGATTTATGAAGGCCACTCAGCTAACAAATGGAACTGGGATTTGGATTTAGACATCGTAATTATCTAAACTACTAAGGTATAATTCTTCTACCGATGAAAATTTAGTTTTCTGAGGTGAATGACAATATCTCAGAAAAAAAAAAGAGTAGTTACAATGGTGGTAATACTGATTGTATTTTGAATGAGGAATGTCCCCATCGGCTTGGATATTTGAACACCGGGGCTCCAGTTGGTGGTGGTATTTAGCAGGAGGGGGGTTAGAAGGTGTGGCCTTGATGGAGGAATTATGTCACTGGAGATGGGCTTTGAGAGTTCATGTCTGACTTGCAAATTTACTTGCTGTGTTGGATAGTTTTATGTCAACTTGACACAAGCTAAAGTCATCTGAGGTGAGGGAACCTCCCGCAAAGAAAATGTCTCATAAGATCACTCTGTAGGCAAGCCTGTCGGGCATTTTCTTAATTAGAGATTGATGCGGGAACGCCCAGTCCATTGTGGGTAGTGCTATACCTGGGCTGGTGGTCTTGGGTTCTCTACGAAATCAGGCTGAGCAAGCCAGTAACCTGCCCTGTCCTGACTTCCTGGAAGAGTAAGCCAAATTAACCCTTTCCTCCCCAACTTGCTTTTGGTCATGGTGTTTCATCATAGCCATAGTAACCCTAACAAAGGGGTAACTAACAGCATCCTCAGAAATAACTATGGCTTTCTCTCAGTGGCAACCACATATTGCCTCTATTTGCTGTAAAATTGCTGTGTAGAGCCACCAGGGCCAATTCCACTTTCTGCTTGTGATTGATATGTGATCCTTCAGCTTCCCTCTCCTGCTGCTGTGTCTGCCTCTTGCTGTTCTTCTCTGCCACAATGGACTCTTACCTCTTTGGGACCATAAATAAAATCTTCTATAAGTAGCTTTTGGTCATGGTGGTTTTTTTTTTTTTTTTTTTTTTTTTTTTTTTGGTTTTTCGAGACAGGGTTTCTCTGTGTAGCTTTGCGCCTTTCCTGGAACTCACTTGGTAGCCCAGGCTGGCCTCGAACTCACAGAGATCCGCCTAGCTCTGCCTCCCGAGTGCTGGGATTAAAGGCATGCGCCACCACCGCCCGGCTGGTCATGGTGTTTTATCATAGCAACAGGAAAGTAACAAGCACAATATTGACAATATGATCTTTGTATGGTGGCTTATTTAGAAAACATTGTCTAAGTGATGCTCTTGTCTGCCTCCTCCACATGACACTTATTTTTACAGATTCTGTTATGAGCTAATTTGTGCCTTCTGCGTTTGTGTATGAAAGCCCTTGGAATGTGGCTGGATTTGAACAGAAGATTTTTCAAACTATTCACGGAGTTAAAGTTAGGTCTTCGGTGTAATCTCCACCCCAGCAGGACTGGTGTCCTTGTGAGAAGAGGAGGTGACATCAGGAGAGCACAGAGGAAAGGCTGAATGAGACACAGGGATGGTGGCTGTCTGGAAGCCAAGGAAAAGAGTCCAAACCCCATGACACGTCGCTTTGGACTTTCAAGCCTCCAAACTGTCAGACAATAAATTCCTCTTCCTTCAGCCACCTAGTCTGTAGAGTTTCGCTCTCACGGCTGCAGCAAACATGTAAGAGGCTAGGAGAGTTAGCTGCTGTGTGTAAGGCTGCTCATAATATTACTGAAGTAACATGCTTAGATTGCAAATGCCTGGACACGGCAACCCTCAACTTCAGGGTGGACCTTCAGGTTCTTCTTCCCTTAAGTTAAGGGACCAGAGCTGGGTACAGCCAAGACTTGGCCTGTCTGATGTGTGGAACCAAGGTTCAACAGGGTAGTACACAAACAGAATGAAGCAGAGACATTTTAAGAACTTAGAGTCCTGTACTGTTCATTTTTACCATTATAGGTTTGCCTTCCGGTATCCTGCTTTTGGGGATTGGATGTGAAATATCCCCCATAGGCTCATGTGTTTCAGCACTGGTCCCAGCTTGTGGCACTGTTTTGGGAGACTATGAGGCTTTTAGAGGTAGGGCCTTGTTTCAAGAGATAGGATAGTAGGGGCAGGAGGTGAGTAGGGGCGGGGGCTTAGTAGGTTAGTGGGGGAGGTTAGTAGGAGCAGGAGGTTAGTAGGTTAGTAGGGGTTGGAAGCTAGTAGGTTAGTAGGGGTGGGAGGTTAGTTGGATAGTGGGGGTGGGAGGTTAGTAGGATAGTAGGGGTGGGAGGTTAGTAGGATAGTAGGGGTGGGAGGTTAGTAGGATAGTAGGGGTAGTAGGTTAGTAGGTTAGTAGGGTGGTAGGTTAGTAGGATAGTAGGGGTGGTAGGTTAGTAGGATAGTAGGGGTGGTAGGTTAGTAGGTTAGTAGGGGTGGGAGGTTAGTAGGATAGTAGGGGTGGGAGGTTAGTAGGTTAGTAGGGTGGTAGGTTAGTAGGTTAGTAGGGGTGGTAGGTTAGTAGGTTAGTAGGGGTGGGAGGTTAGTAGGATAGTAGGGGTGGGAGGTTAGTAGGTTAGTAGGGGTGGTAGGTTAGTAGGATAGTAGGGGTGGGAGGTTAGTAGGATAGTGGGGGTGGGAGTTTAGTAGGTTAGTAGGGGAGGGAGGTTAGTAGGTTAGTAGGGTGGTAGGTTAGTAGGATAGTAGGGGTGGGAGGTTAGTAGGTTAGTAGGGGTGGGAGGTTAGTAGGTTAGTAGGGGTGGTAGGTTAGTAGGTTAGTAGGGGTGGGAGGTTAGTAGGATAGTAGGGGTGGGAGGTTAGTAGGTTAGTAGGGGAGGGAGGTTAGTAGGTTAGTAGGGTGGTAGGTTAGTAGGTTAGTAGGGGTGGGAGGTTAGTAGGATAGCAGGGGTGGTAGGTTAGCAGGGGTGGGAGGTGGGTATGGGCAGGACTGATGAGCTCTTGCTTATCCCTGGTTCAGCCCAGAGTCCTCTGTCCTTCCTGACTGCTGACAGGCTGTAGCCAGCTGACTCCGGTTCCTGCTGCCCCAGCCCGTGGCAGCTTCTACCATCATTCCTAGTCAGAATAATGAACTCTGTCCCTTGACCCATGAGCCCAGGTGAGTCTTTTCTCCCTTATTTACTTCAGGTATCCTGTCCCAGCAGCAAGAAAACTAAGTCAGGGATGGCGGCCCACATCTATAGTGTTAACCCTTAGGAAGCTGAGGTAGGAGGATTGCCTGAGTTCAGGGCCAGCTTGGGCTACAGACTGACTTCCAGGACAGTCAAGGTTGGATAAACCTTGTCTCACTGCTTGCCCTCCCCCAGAGGTCACTAAGCCACTTATGTTTATTCTTAACATTTGTACATATTTGACGTAATGATAGTGTTGCCCTGGTGATGTATGAATGTAGAAGGAAAGGTCTCATTTTGAGACCTTCATTGAGAACACAGAATATCCTCACTGGGAGGGAATGTCCTTAGCACTTTCACAGTGACTTTCTTTGGTAAAATTGAACGGAAGATAAAGAGGGATAGATATTCTCATTCTATTTCGATATAGATGTACAAGGCAGGGACATTACCTGACGTGCCCAAGACTGTAGTCCTAGGCTGGCAGCTCGGTCTCAAGTCAGCTGACTCTCAATAGCAGCACTGAGTCCTTGGGGAATAAGAGGGATTGGTGTAGGAATTTTGAGGGGAAGGAAATGAATGAGGTGGTTCTCTCTCTCAGGTCTTCAGTGGAGGTGAAGATAAACAATTGCCTGTCTTAACCTACTTGGTACTTCTCATTCATATCACTGAATCGAACAGGTTTCTTTCTTTCTTTCTTTCTTCTTAATAAATGAAACTCTTATTCATGATTGGCATCGAAGGTTTTGAGATCTTCCTTCTGGGAAGAACTCCAGAACACCCACAGAACAGATATGCCTGGGCAGAAATCAGGGAAAGCTAAGCTCATTTCTCTCATCTTTCTTCCAGGAAACCTTCAAAATAGCATGACTACAACTTTCTCATGAACCAGCGAATGGGTGCTTCATCATTAACTTTGGGAGCTGAGAGTTCAAAAGCAGAGTGAGGACATAGGGTGCTTCTGCTAAATGGGCACGTGCAGTGGTGTTCTTTCAACAGAAATAGACGAAGGCTTAGGATGCAATACCTTTTGGGTCTGTGAAATGCTACTCCAGGGTCACAATCCAGCAGAAACTGCCCTGAGCACCAACCATTGAGTCCAACATGACTTTCCTACCGTCTTTAAACCTCCACAGAACTTAGACTCATCAGGACAGTGTAGAGACCAATTGAATCAGGGTCAGTGTG